GGATGTATCTGATGAGGACCTCCACCCGGAATTTTGACTAGGACAATGGCATCAATCTTCACATTGTTTTTCTTCATCAATTAACGTTAGAATCTGACCATTTTCTGGCATGAACTGTATCTGGGAATAACAAAAAAAAAAAACAGAATGCCCAACAGTTGCCAATCATCAAACAATACTAGCTCTCCGAGTCATCGTGCAGTCCGCAAACAGCTGTAGCAAAAGGATTTGACCATTTATACTGTGGTTTGATAAGGTGACCGGATGGCTAATGGTCAAGGGATGGGGAAAGACCTGGATTAACAAAAAAATTGCTTCCCTCAATTTCTTCCTAAATTGCTGCTATTTCATGAACCTCATCAGAGGTCTCGGTGGGCAGTTCATTCCAGAGTTGGCAACTTCCGGAAAACACCGCAGGCTTATTCATCCACAGCAGTAGGGCTTTTATTCATCAAAATGAAGCAGGCCTTCCGCCAAGTACATGTGCGGGAACTGATAGAGTACTACATTGCTCTCTACATGATGGGCTGATAGCAGATAACAACAGATCAGCTTAAGTTTTCTGTTAACAAAATCAGTGGAAAGTCTGAAGATTTCTCATAACGTACTTTACTTGAAGACTAGAACTATCAAGCTGTTCTCAGGAAATCAAAATTACTGCGGTGCTTTATTACTCAGATGCTAAATGATCTCACTTCATTTGTAACCTTTCATATGTTCAATAAAAACAGCACCAGCTACCATTTTTTAGCATCTTCCATTTCATTACCTTTCTAGTCTTACAGTGTCCAAAACTGCTCTCTGTGCATGAACATGTCTGGGTTCATTAACATACTGAGACCGGAAAGGCTGAGTTTCCTGTGCCTGTGTCTGGTTTGATGTGGTCTTCTGTAACGTACTGCTGTGTTAGGTGGAGTGAAACAGAGTTCCAAGGGTCATAAATGAAGGCAAAACAGGAGAACGGCAGGCAGTAAGGTGAGCAAGAAAACAGTCCAGATCTGTGGTTGAACCACACAGGGTCCAAAGCCGGCGACATGATGTGAAAGCAACCAAGAGACATACACAAGCTGAGGTCAGGACAAAGCAGAAAGGCAAGTAACATGACGAAATCCTAGTTCAGGGCATCCTAGTTCAGGGAAAGTCTGAGAGACAAGGTCATAACACAGCAAGGTTGGAAATCCAAACAGAGTGCAAGACAGGGAACTACTGTAGGAGTACAGAACTAAAGACGTGACAGCAGTAACTTTTACTACAGAGCCCAGATATTGTTATCTATTCATAATAGAGCCTTAACTAGCTTGAGTCACCAGGAGACAAGGGAGTCTGATACTGTTTCCACAGCAACCAGCCTGACTGACAGGTAGGAGAGGCGTAGCTGGCTGCCGTGGTAGAACTGGCCTACTTCGCCGTGCTTCTGCGAGGACGCATGATAGTCTCCATCATGAGAGGTTCTGCCCCTTGCAACGGTCAGTGTTGGCTGTGAGGAATGGAGGAGAAGCTGTAGTGGACACTACAGGAGGCAGGGAGGAGCCACAGCAGTACCTGGATGAAGGACCCACTGATGTGTGTTCTGTGACAGTTTTTGTACTGCCATGAAGGCAAGTTTCTCACAGGGATAAGAGGAAATAGACTGAGGAGACCACTGACATAAGCATTTCCAGGGATTAAATTGAAAAACGTTCAATTGAAAAGGCTAAACAGAGAAACAACTCAGAAATATTAGGAATGCATAAAACATAATGTATGTATATTTGAAATGTCATTGTAAGTTGTGATTGTGAGACTTATAAAAATTAATCAGCCACATTTTTATCTTTTATTTCATGCTCCTTCTTTTTTAAATAATAAGTTTTAGAAGACATAGTACATAAAAATAAGTAACCAGTAACAAGAAGTTGGACATTTAAAATTGCCCTCTTCAGCAAGCAGGCCAGTGTCAGACCAATGCACACAAACCTTTGAACACTGATCTGTGAACACAGAACCATTCATACAAGCCAATGCACACAGATCAGTGCTCAGCAGCTGCTCAGTGTCCAGAAAACTGGAGCATCAAGGTAGAAAAACTCATCTCTCTGGTTGGTTCCAGGAGTCTCAGTCTTTTCATTTGAAGAACTTCTCAGCTTCTGAAGTCCTTCTCAGCTGTTTTCCTTTAGTCTTAACTGAAGTAATAACATACGTATTCAGACTTTTTCACTGATTGTCTGCTCAAAAATAGAAATTGCACGTTTTAGAGGAGATGTTTGGACCGCAGGACATGTTCAGACATTGTACTTTGTACATTTACAGACACTGTGCTTTAGGGAATATTAGAAGTAAAAGAGATATAAATAGTTTGTTTTTTTAGAAGGAATATACATTATCAAAAAAGAAGAGTTTCACAGTTTATAATTTTATTGGACATCATTTTTTTATTATTGTTACATAATTTCACATACTACTGTTATATTATATGCTATGTGAATTGTACTATATGAGATACTTAAATAAGTGCTAGTCAAAACTGAGAGAGAGCAATGTATGTTTAAAAACATGTAATGTAACAACGTGAAAGGTTATTAAAGGATCTCCTACATCGATCAGCTAGAGCAAACTGAACAATTTAAACCATTAAAATATACTTGTAAAACAAAAGCACAGAAAGATTATGTTTATCAGACTCTCTCTAAAAAAGAGATCTCACGTCATCTTTCTCCTCTCACTCCAGTAGGTCTATAAAGGGGACCCAGAATGCTCAGGGCTCATTCCTGCACTAGGACTGTAACTAGTTTAGCCTTTGTCAGTGTTTCAAGCATGTACTTTGTCACAAGTTACATATTTTTCCTGGTTTGCCTGAGAACATTCTGAGAACAGACTGAAACTTCTTCCCACCAAAATAAATATTGTATCATACTGTTACAGGCCCAAGCCAAACCATTTACTGTACATGTGAAAAGTGTAAGTAAAATTAGTTAGATTTTACTTAGATTTGAACAATTTACTCAACTTCTGTTTATGAGAAAAGTACTGTATATGTACAATAATTACCACCATTAGGTGATGCTAATGTTCATAGCATTACATAAAATCACAATCCAGTTTTTTTAACACTTTAACAACAGTTTTCATAGCAGACCCTGAGAAAATATTTTCTGTTAAGTCTCTTTGACTTCATTTTATGTTGGGATATTGTAAAATAGATTAAAACAACCATAAAAGGGAGTGCAGATCTGTATTTTCCCTTCACAGTATCTTAAGAAAGCCTGCAGACTGAGCAAGAGCTGCAGAGAGCTGGAGATTTTCTGCAGTGCAATATGTTCAATTTCATAAACAAACCTCATTCTCACCCCTAAACCGTTCCTTAACAGATAGTTTTGTTGCCATGATCAAGCAACGAACATGAGCCACAACCTTTTTGTAGGTTGCAAGACACATACATTTATTAAAAATCTTGGTATATGTCTCCACCTAGTGTTCTGTTGGTGTTGTGGATTTTGTATTTTAATTGTGTTCTTATTAAGCGAATTGTGTTCCAGTTTTGCTCTTTTTATTCAAATGATAAAGACTTTCTCGAAGAATCAGTGAATACAAGATGTGCTGTTCACGCATATCACATCCAAGCAATCTAATCTAATCTGGCAGGAAGACATTACAGCCAAACACAGAGTGTCAAAGGCAGGCCTCGAGCTGGGAGACCATGAGTCACGACACCTCCCAAAGATTGACACATCATCTTACTCCATCTTCATGATTATTTTCTAACTGCCAGCTCCACTGCAGCAGAAACCTCAGGTCATAACACTGAGCGTATCGGCACTCCAGCTGTGAGGAGGCAGATAAAAGCAACAAAATTTGACAGGCTAGGCAATCCTACATGGGTCGTCTGTGGTTTCGTTTCTAAAATCTAACAGTAATTTTCTTAGAATAATTATTGATAATAATGTGGAAAATGAAAAATGTATTGTCATTACACTGAACAACACCAGAAATTCAATTGCAATTTCATATTTCAAATATTAAACTTTACATCTTGCTTAGGCTTCTTAAACATATTCACAATATATTCAAAAGAATACTTTTTTATACTGTGTTGCATTATCGAGCTCTTTTGCTCACAATGTTGTTTCTTGAAGTGGCATCGACCAGTCTATAGTGCTTAACCTGTGCTTTAAATGAGTGCTTTGATGCAGAAAGAAATCTTTCGGTGTGACAGGTTGCATTGGAGAGATTGCAATGACAAGGAGGCAACCATTAGAGGAAGCCAAAGTATCAGTGGAAAATTGTCTGCTGACTGAGACTGGTACACAATCCATTCCTTCATTAATTCTTCATCTCCCTCTCTGGCGAGTTCTATATTGGTACCACACCATGGAGTTTAAACTCCTACAGTACCTCCTCCACTTCCCCAATGCCCACTCATGACTTCATTGATATAACTTTAGAAACCCTGTCCTTTCTTTTGAAAGAGAAGAGTAGAAAAACCTAACACTATCACAATTTTCTGAAAAATGCATCCCAATGCAAGCAACATTTTTAGATGACAAAACTTGTTTCCCTGTGTCTCTTTCAATGTGAAATGTCTAAAATAAATCAATAAAAAGAATTCACTATCATCAGGAAACACTGTTATGATTGCTGACAACATAGATGGGAGATGATCATCAATGATCTATTAAGGCTGATTATTAAGAGGTGAACTGTTGTGTTAACAGAGAAGAGAACAGGAACTAATTCAATTTTTGTGACTGTATTTTTCTGGTTTTAATTGCACTGTAATCTCAAGCCAACTTTTAGGTTTAGGATTTTCACCCTAGTAACATTCACAATAATACCTTAATCTTGAAAATGAAAGCGTACATTACAATTCTGAGATGCCCACCTATGGTTTTAAATAATTATTCCAAAGTAAATTTCTTAATAACTGAACCTGAATGCAGATTTCCATAGACTGGATAGCTGAAGTATTCTACATAGACACTTAGACACGTTAGATACAGCTGAAAACTCGATAATCAATACTTTCACCTCTCTCCTTCCTCACCACCTTCTTGTCTCGCTTTCCCAACCATCTCCATATTCCCTGCTCTACCTCCTTGCTCAGGTTCACTGCTTTTCTCCTTTTCTGCTGACTTGCCAGACTCTTCCCCTCCTGGTCCCCCTTCACCCCCTCCTCTCTCTACACTGACATCATTTTTACTTCCTTCTTCCCCCTTGCTGTCTTTTTCTTCTTCCTGCTCATTTTCACTGAGTTGTGAATTCCCTCCTGCCACCTGTTTTGCACTCCCTTCCCTCTTCATCTCTTCCTGCTCCTCCTCATTGTTGTCATTGTCTCCCCTGTCTTCCTCCATATCCCCCTCCCCCTCTCCTGGCTCCCACAGCTCGGTCTCCTTCTCCAGCTGGTCGATACGGGCCTTTAACTTGTGTGCGTTGGACTCCAGCTCCGCCATCAGCCTGGCCAGCTTGGTCTGCATATCATCCAGGTTGTCCTCAATGCGGTCCACCCTTTTCTTCATCACCTTTTCCTTGCTCTCCGCATTGGCTGCACTATTTTCCTCCAGCATTCCCATTTTCATCAGGATCTGCCGGCCTTTCTCCTCCAGCAACCGCTTGGCATCAGGGAAGTCAGTTAAAACCCCTGTCAGATCTTCTTTGGACAGTGAGAACAGGTCTGAGTGCCCAATGCTCCTGATGTTAGCTGTCCTCCTGTTTCCAGACTTGTTGCCTGTATTGGAAATTATAAAGGCAGCTGTAATGTATTAGGATATGTGTTTGAAAGCAGTGCTTCTAGATGCATTACAGTATTTTGGCCCCATGGCATTTCCTTAGTATGACAACAAAGAACACTAGCTCTGCTGTGCAAGGTGAAGGGTAACGTTATTTAAAAACTATTACCTTGCAACTCTGCCAGCTCTGCATCTTAAACCATAAATACCTGTGCTTGTACAAAATACATGTGAAATATCAAGGTTACAAATACACAGAATTTAATCTTAAATGACAAAATAGTGATATAAACATACTGTATTTATATGTTCTTATTTTCTAAAAAAGCACTGGTGATAAAATAATCAATGTATTAATTATAATATTTTAAACACAACTTCACACTACACACAATAGTTACAAATAATAAAGCTATTGACAATATATGCATTCCAGAGGCCTACAGCACTTCTTACTGAGCTAGAAACCCAGAACTCTAACCCTGTAATCTAAATACACTATGAAAAACCTAATCTGGCCAAAAAGACTAAAAATAATCATCCAACCCAAATCCTAAAAGAAATAATTCTCCCTTCCTACAACATGGTTGTCCAGAAACAAATGAGTATCAATCTCTCTCCTCTAAAAATGAATAAAAAACTAGGAAAGAACGTTTTTAGCCTGAGGATTCCATAATATAGGAAATTTCCTATCATAAAAAAAGATAGCAAGATGTTTATAATAATGTTCAGATTACTTAGCGTGAATATGGTCTCCAAGACTGATCAGAGCAAGGTTGTCTCACATGGTATAAACTTAGAGGAAGTGGAGGGAGATGGTGTTCCTTCTTCCCTCTCCTTCTCTGTGCCTTCTGACTCTGTATTAATGCTGTACTGCACTACTTAATAATTATAACTACATGATTAGCTGAATTTAAAAACTTATATGTTTATCTATAAAATGTCAAAGAAATATATATATTAAAATTACCACTATTGTTGGAACATTCCCTATGAGATGTAAAACCGAGGTCCTGACTCTCTGTAGTAATTAAAAATCTCAGGGTGTTTCTCAAAAAAGAGTAGGGGTGTAACCCCGGCATCCTGGCCAAATTTCCCATGCTTCCTAATAATCCCCCTCTATGAATTGGCTATATTACTTTGTTCTCCCCCTCCCCTTTTCACTCCGACGGCAGGCGGAGCGATGCGCCGGTTGGAGTATTCTCGGTCACAGTTAATGGCAACGTCAGCTCAAAGATTTGGTTCAAACCACCAAATGGAGACGGGCGTGCCAACAAGCGGACCCTGCTGATGCGGGATTAACGCTAGGAAAGAGAGAGTTGGAACATTCCCGATTCCTGTATAGCAAACCTTCTGGTCTCTTCCCTTGGTTTTAAATAAGAAACTACCCAAAATATTCAGTTCATTGCATTTTACCTTTGATGTTGAGGATGCTAATCTCTCCAAAGAAGTTCCCTTCCCCAAGCACTGCGAACTGCGTGACTCCATCATCTGCCACCACAGCCAGCTTCCCCTCCTTGATGATGTACATCTCATGACCCACGTCACCTTTCTTGCAGACGTACTCCCCTGGGCTGTAGACCTGGGGCTGCAGCTTCAGCACCAGCTCCTCCAGTAGGCTCTTCTCACAGTTCTGGAAGATGGTCACCTTGCTCAGGGTGCCCAGGTGCACGCTGACAGCAATCTCGGTCCGGAGCCTGTCAGGCAGGTGCCGCATAATCTCATTCTCACGCGTTATCTTCTTGTTGATGTGGAGGTGCTGGTACCAGTTGTTCACCCGTTGCTTGAGATCCTTGCTGACACGTTGTGAGCGGAGGTAGCTGTTAACCAGCTCATGGTTTGGGAAGAAGACATTGTCCCGGCTCTGAAGGTTGATGATCACTGTCCCCACATTTCCCACGATGGAGGCAAAGACCAGTACAGCAATGAGTAAATCCATGGTGGCGAAGAGGTACTCCTCCTCCCTCTCAGGCATGGGGTTGTCGCCCACGGTGGTGAAGATCAGTGCTGTGAACCAGAAGCTGTAGAAGTACTGCCGTCGTACAGACTCATACCCAGGGATAGATGTATTGGGGTACACCCAACGGTCTGCCCCAAACCCAATGTAAGAAGACAGTGCAAAGTAGAGGCAGGCATTCCAGTGCATCAACACAAAGATGTAGAGCATCAGCTTGGCGATACGGAAAGTGTTGGGGTAGGAAGTACGTGTCTCCATGCGGTCAAATGCCTCTGAGATTCGGGACGATCGCAGGAAGCGGTTCACGCGCACCATCGGGTAGTTGAGGCCCAGGCGCAGGTACAGTAGGTCTGTTGGGAGGAGGGACAGCACATCGTAGAAGAATTGTGAGGAGGTGAGGTACCTCTTTCTGAGCCGCCTGTGATCAGTGACCAGAATGCCCTGTTCCAGGAACCCTGCAAATGCAAACAGAAACATTGTCACAAACTGTCAGGTCCAGTTATCTTAATTTATGCATATGCATGATTTTAATGGAAATTGATTTTAACACATACAATGTTACAACATATGAGGTGAGAAGTACTGTATTAATGTAAAAATAAATTAAAAAATCCTGACATCAAATTAAAATCCTAGATAAGATGCCTCCTATGTTCAGGAATGAAAATGGACAAAGCAGGTAACATGGTCTTTCTGTCCAAGGCAAGCCAGATGGTGAATGAGGAGGCACAATCCTAAAACACAAATATTTATTTACCACAATTAATTACAAGTGAATAAACTACACTTTACAAATTATTTAGAAAGATCTATTAAGGTTCTGTATAGGTTACAAATCTTGAGTCCTGACCCCCTAGAGCACAATTCAGCTTTCACTCATCTCCTCAAAGGTGGACCAACCTTACTGCAAACTAACAAACACACAGGTCTGAGAGGTAACGATGGATTCTACATGACAGAAGTCCTTTCATAGACTGCACCCTAAAACTGCTAATGTCTTGGAAGTGTTTCTGTAAACCACATTTTGTCTCCAAGAGATTCAGGGGTTGCATGGCAAGTAGTAAAAGGAAATAATCTTTCTTCATATACAGTATAAAAACACCGCCTAATTGTACAACTCCCTGCACCTCTGCCTCCAAGGGAAGAGGATCATTTTAAATGTATTTTTAAAATACTGATTATTTTGATTGTTGGGAAGGGACAGTTTTTTTTCAGGTGCTGTTTTTACAGTGAAACAGAAGCTTCTGCTTACTCTTGGTTCGATTCTCCTAATTTAGAATTATAAGAATATTTTCTGGCTGGCATGTGAAGCGACTGTAATAACAGCCAACCTGACACTAGGGGTCGTTAAAAGCCTTCTTACACCTGTAGATGGGTTCCATGATTGTTGATATGATTATTAAATGATGAATGGTGAAGCACTAAATTCCACAATCTCAAATGGACCTGATTAGTAGTGGTCTAAAAAAAGCCATGTAGGTGTGTGTGTGGAAAGATGAGATTGAAAGGTTTGTTAAGAGGTTTTTTAGTCATAATAAGCATACTTGTAGATGAATGCTGTAATAAAGCCTCCTATACTTTACTTTGTTAGTCATTGAGCATGGCCACTTACTCATTGAATGCAGGTACTTTGAGCCCTTTGAGGCAAGGGCAAGACTTGTCACAATTCCATTTTGAGCTATTATTTTATTGTTCTCGTAATCAAGGCAAACTATATACTGTATTTGTGCACTAGTGTAAGTTACGTAAACACACCTTCGGCATGCAGAGCCAAGGCAGATACTGCTGCTCACTACACCAAGAACACCCTGGTAGACTTGAACCCTGGGCCTTAGAGAGCCCAGCAGTGATCAGCTGGTGATACAGCCCAGACCTAAACCAGGGATCTTCAGACTATCAGGACCAAACTGTAAACAACAGCCTCACAAGGTCAGACACTTGGGATAACATTATTTTATCTCAGTTGTCTTATTCTTAATATTGATATTTATTTGTAAAAAAATATTTCTGATTTGTTCTCATAAAGCATCATCATTCCCACTTTGTCTGTTCAGTGTTTTCACTTGGCTGAGTGGTGGGAGAATTCACAGGACTGTACAGACACTAATCAGAAGACTGTTGAAACATGTCTTGAAGTGGAGCGTACCAGTGTGAAACTTGAAAATGACATCAGCTATGTAGAAAAGGTCAGATAGGTAATCCAGGGTAAGCCACACAGCCAGGTGGTCATTCTGTACTGCCACGAAGCATGTCCTGTAACAAAACAGAGGAAGTCAGCATTAGGAAAAAAGTTACTGTATATAAAAGTATCTAACAAATATCTTAGTACACTAAAATCTTACAACTGCTTTCTTAGCCTCCAGTGACTGACTCATAGAGCGCAAGAAGTCAGGAAACTCCCAAATCCTGCTGCTTCACCACACCATGCACAGATCTGTATGGTATAAAAATGGGCTGCTGCTGTTTCAGAAATCTTACTGCACAGCATTGTAGTTTCCAACCAAAATGCAGCTTCAAATCAAAAACTGCATTTAAAAACAGTGTTCAGTTTTGTGTTAAGTGTTCCAGCATTTTTCTTGATATATTTCTCCTTTATTTAAATTTCCTCTTCGTCATCTGTGAGGAAATGCCCTTTTAACAACTGTGCCCATGGCTAGAGATCACTGTAGTAGAGGGGTAGAGGGTTCCTGCAGTCAGATGTGAGAGGCCTTTCACAATCCTGGACATTCGAGCCACCATGTGTAAACAGTGTACTTACCTCCGGAGTATGAGTGTTATCCCCTGTTCCATGTCCGTAAAATATCATCTAGCTAAACACCTCCTGACTTCAGGGTTTTCTGCCCAATCCCCTTCACTTTGGTTGAGCTCATACAGCTGTGGCTTTGTTGCCAAAACATAAAATTTGCAAAGTACGACTGTATATAAGTCGACTGTATAAAGCATCGTCATGGAAGCTCCTAGTTACTGTCTTCTCTGTCAGATTGATTCTAGCACAATCATTTTAAATGTATTTTAAATATCTGCAACCTTTGCAATCATTATACTGTTAATGTAAAAAATGCATTTCCTTCTTATACTGATTAAGCATTTGGTTTCCTACCTGCAAATGATGATAACCCAGTTGTACAACACAGGGATGATCATGACCTGGATCCAGGTGAAATAGGCATCACTGGAAGGGTCTACTACCACATCCTTCCAGCTTCTGTGGTAGAAGAGAGAAGCAGGGAAATATATAACCCACACCAAATATACTCAAACAAATTCCTCCTTCACAAATGCTGTTCTGTTAAAATTAGATCGATAGCATGTGTCTAGATGCAAAGAACTCGAACTAGCCTTGCCGGAGAGAAACTGAAAAGACACATATCTTCGTTTGCTGTTGCAAATACAAAGGGCCACACAGCTTTCCCTACACATTTTTGACAAATCAAAAACACTAACTTCAGTCGGTGTTTGACTTCAGCTGCCCTCTTTCCATCTTTCTCCTCCTCTTTCTTCATGCCCTCCTTCATCTGTCCACGGTGCCACCTGAGAAGCCCAGACCAGCGATTCATTGTCCCTGCAGTCTTCTCCGCCGAATGTTACTGCTCTGAGCTTCCAGTCTCACGTTTCCACCTGTGTCTTAAAGAGGGCTCTTGCCAGGGTTCCTCAGTGTGGCTATGATCAGTACTCCAATATACTCCCCCATACAGAGCTCTCCTGCCACATACTTCAGATCCTGTTGAGATGGATAAGGCAGAAGCGGTTTCCATGGTTGCAGTTTCTCACCTGGCAGGCAGGTAGTATTCCCTCATGACTTGTGAACTTGTGAGCCAATAGTTGTTTGTGAACTTACCTTGATGTGTGGCTCTGGGGCTCATTAAACTAACCCCAATGTTCTCCTGGGCAAAATAATGATTCCGTGTCACGAAGAAAATGGAAGAGGTTGGTAATAACTGTGGATGAAATGGACTGCATATCCGTGTCCTACCTGTATAGGTTTTAAAATGACAGTTCTTAAAGACAAGATGCTAAATCAAATCTACAAAACACAGTGGCCCAGAATTGGCACGGCATTAAAAACTGCAAGTCTGCAAACAATAACCCAACCTCAAGGGATAATATAATAACCATCCTGTTAGTGAAATACAGTACCAGTGATCTGGCACTGTCAACAAATTGTAGTTCATGACTCCCTCTTGTATTACCATAACCCTCACTTTTCAGCTCCTGAAGATTTTGAATTGATATTCACTGAATTGAATTGAATTTCAGTTAAACTGTAAGCCCTCTTCTACATTTGGCCCTACAATATCCTGCATGTCCATGCTGCCCAGGAGTGTTCTGTAACATGGTGCCAGATATAAGTAAAATGTGGCAGCAAAACACAAGCAACCAGTTAATCAAATATCTTTTTATTTAACTGTTTACTCATTCAAAAATATTTCAAATCTAGATAACATCATATTCCCAAAAACATTTAAAAATTGTTTCTGAAGTATTGTTTCTGTAAGCTTAAAAAACAGCATGCAAAATTCACTTAAACCTTTCTGTATTTAATTGGGAGCTGGTCTTTATGTTATAGGTGTTGAATACATTTCTATTCCCATTCATTACAAAATGAAGCACTTGCTTTTAAAAATTCTGACCATTTTATTGTCAAAGCACCCATTCGAAAATACTGTAATCAAAGGTGACCCCCCCTGCATTAAAGAAAGCAAGAATTGTTGTTGTTTCATATGCTTTTCCAGAGTTATTTCAAAGCTTGCTCTACAACGTCTTACATATCAAAATCATTCTACATGGCCTTTTCTACCACAATTTCAGATGTCCGAAGGAAGTCATCCTGTTGTCATCAGAAATGAGCCACTTCTCCTTCAAGAATAAAAATCCAAATTTAAGACAAACATAAAAATATTGATTAAAATGTGTTTGTTAAAGAATTAACATTAAGAAGGGCTAGGCATTTAACTTTTCAAGCTTAACTAAGAGACAGGCAATTTTTGGACAGGCAATCGTCTTATTGAAGACTTTCCTGACTGTTTTGGTTGGTTCAGTATCTTTGTATATTAAGGCTTTATCATTAACATTCCCATAATGACAATAATATACAAAATATTATCAATTTTATACAGCTAGCAATCTTTGGTAGTTCAGTCAAGCTTATCACTGGACCCACCATGTGCAGAAAGTTTTTATTTCATGCTCATAGTGTTCCATGATATCTTCAGCCTTCTCGTTTTTCCTGAATTTCACTGGACATTGGGCAAATGTAAGATATTGCTGCCATTATCATTGCCAGGCAGAAGTGATACAGTCTCTTTGACTGTCTCTTAGTGATACAGTTCTGTTCTTAGAACGATAGCAGGAGATGTGTCTCACCTGTGATGTACAGTTTCTTAGCAGAGGCCGAATGCTAACTATGTCTGTAGCGGATGGGATTTGCATTCAGGAGCTTCTATTTGAATCAAATTTAAATTTCTTTCTCACTTCTACCCTGTGCATGCAAACACTTCACATTTTTATCTCTGAGACCAGAGTGTCTCATTTTCAGAGGAGGTTGCTATTTCCTTGAGTGTATTGGTTCTCCGGTATATTCCTCATACATAATTTAAAATTGTAGTTTTTCAGTCTCAGAGGTAAATATTCTAAAAAACATTACTGAACATACAAAGGAACGTGCTGTAAGGTTTCAAACCTTTGAGGGTGCCATTTAGCCCTTTTAGCAATAATCCTGATGTTCTGTCTGCTGGTTTTAATGATAATAGGTACTATTACTTTCAGTATGAACCCTTTCCAATGTGAACTCCAGTCCTGGTGGACCACAGTGTTTTCTAGTTTTTGCTCCAGCTGAATCTTTAGTTGCAGGAAAACATTTTTTTTATCTGGGGTGTATTTATAATTTCTATAATGGGTGCTGAATTTCAGGTGAGGTGTGTTGCCTTAAAATCTCACTGTGGGAGTGTTTGATACATTCCTGTGTCTGTTCTCCATACTGTAAGTTGATCACCAATGAAGATAAAGTTAATGAAAAGTTCTGTTTGATCATGGTAAAAGCAGGCAACAGTAAGACAAGACAGGGCAACTATTAATAGCTGTTTATTCAGAAATAAGGGTGATCTTTTTTGAGGGCGAGCATATTGAGCTTACATTGAGGAGGGTTTGCTTAACATTCTGTATGCTGAGGTTGCTAGTGTGACACAGCTGCGAAAATTCACTTTTCTTATTGTGATACCACTGTTCACCACCAGAGGATCTTTACATTTTTATTAACAACATGGGTGTCCCTAATTGAGAACCCTGTATTAATAATAATAATAATAATAATAATAGCTTACACTTATGTAGCGCTTTTATTGACACTCCACTCAAAGAGCTTTACAGTTAATGGGGACTCCCCTCCACCACCACCGATGTGCAGCATCCACCTGGATAATGCGATGGCAGCCATAGTGCACAATAATTCTCACATACCAGCTATTTAGTGGGGGAAGAACAGAGTAATGAAGTAATGAAAATGGGAAATTTGGCCAGGATGCCAGGGTTACACCCCTATTCTTTTCGGGAAATGCCCTGGGACTTTTAATGGCCACAGAGAGTCAGGACCTCAGTTTTATATCTCATCCAAAGGATGGCACTTTTTTTTTAAGTATAGTGTCCCTGTCACTATACAGGGGCATTAGGACCCACATGGACCACAGGGTGAGCACCCCCTGCTGGCCCCACTAACACCTCTTCCAGCAGTAACCTTAGTTTTTGCCAGGAGGTCTCCCATCCAGGTACTGACCAGGTTCACACATGCTGAGCTTCAGGGGCTTGCCAGTGGTGAGTTGCAGGGTGATATAGCAGAGCGAAACGGTTATGTGGCTGGTGTGGCATTCATGGCAGAACCTCACAGCGTGTTCTACAGCTTAGGCACTGAATCTTTTTCAGTAATGAGAATAATTTTTCTCCTTTGTATCAAGCTGGTCCCATTTCTCTATCTGGCATACATCGGTGGATCGATTCCACACTGGCACTCTACTGTACTTCGAAAGGGAGTTAGGAAAGTGTATGCCGGAGGATAAAAGCATGGCCAAACCTCACTCTTTATCACACTAGAAACTTTACCCTTGAAGTAGGCTGTTTTTGAAACTCACAAAACAAGTTAGCCAGAAGCCTAGACAAACAGGTGGATTTATCAACTTGCACTAGTGATTCAGAGATGTGCTGAAACAAAAACCAGTGAACACAGGGGTACACCGGGACTGGTATTGGAAACCTCTGCTATAAACTGCATAACTATAAGATTACAAAGTGTAATATTCAGGTAGAGTTTCCTATTTTGACCTGTGTAGAAAAATGAGAACAGCTGCTGGTGATATTGGGCCTTGGGAATTGATGAATGTACTCTACTAAAAATACTGGAGTCAAAGACACCAGACCAAGACTTTTGTACTGGGAGTGTCTGCAGCACGTCCACGCCCTCAGGTAGTGGCCAGACTGGGGCTGAAGGGAGTTACAACCCCTGTTGCATTACAATATACAGTAGGTTCCTTCCTTCCTATGCTCTTTCAGTTCTGCCTTGCTGTGTGCCCTCATACCAAAACATCATACAGTATACAGGGTGAAAGGGCTTTAAACAGGAATGCTCCTAAACTCTTTGATTCTCTACCTGAGACTGTATATGCCTCTCCATGCTCATCTGTCAACAAAAGCCGTTTTAAAACACAGCTTTTTCTATTTAGCATTTCTTGACTTCTCTGAAATTTTTTTTGCCTCAGTATTTTCTTTCACCAATGCGCTTTTGGTTACCTTCACTTTGAGATATAGTGATGTGATACTATCAGCACTTAGATGAAGGGGTTGAGTGGGGTGATTTCAATTTAGTCAATCAAGAATAAAGTATCATTTTCAATTAGGACCTGCAGATGCATTTATACAGCAGGGAATTTACTGTGAGTAAAATACCTTGCTCAGGGCTTACAGCGGTGTCTCACATGGGTTTTGTTCAGGTCAGTCTATTTGTTTATTTGCACAGGTGCAATGAAATGCTCATTTGCATGTATTGCCAGCAGCCATATCACCCTGCAACTCACACCTGGCAACCCACTGAAGCTCAGCAGGTGTGAGCCTGGTCAGTACCTGGATGGGAGACCTCCTGGGAAAAACTAAGGTTGCTGCTGGAAGAGGTGTTAGTGGGGCCAGCAGGGGGCGCTCACCCTGCGGCCCATGTGGGTCCTAATGCCCCAGTATAGTGATGGGGATGCTATACTGTAAACAGGTGCCATCCTTTGGATGAGATGTAAAACCGTGGTCCTGACTCTCTGTGGTCATTAAAAATCCCAGGGTGTCTCTTGAAAAGAGTAGGGGTGTAACCCTGGTGTCCTGGCCAAATTTCCCATCGGCCTTTATCAATCATAGCCTCCTAACAATCCCCCTGAATTGGCTTCATTACTCTGCTCTCCTCCCCACTGATAGCTGATGTGCGGTGAGCATTCTGGCGTGGTGGATGCTGCACATTGGTGGTGGTGGAGGGGAGTCCCCTGTTACCTGTAAAGCGCTGCATAAGCAATTATTATTATTCTCCAATACAAAGACATTAAAGGAATCACCAAAAACATAAAACACAGAATAGCAGCAGCAACAAGTTAAATAACATATAACTTAAAAAAAGACGAGCGGTGAGAAAAAAAAAACATCAGTGTGAATCAGTGGTAGGGGAAGAGTTCAGTAATCTGACAGTTTGGGGGAAGAACATGTCTGGACCCAAAACTAGTACTCCACACGTCTGCCCCTCGGGGTTCAGGAAGAACAAAAGCAAATTTATTTAGGTATCTCTTATTGCTATTGTAGATTAAAACTCTACTTTCAGAAAACAATAAAATCACTCCCTGGCTTTTAACAATATATTTAAAATCGCCAGAAGCTAAATGAACCCCCGTTTCCAATCGATGAATCTAATTCGTTTGCTTGAAATATTTTAATTTCGTTTGCGTTCTTTGCAATGGCGCCTTTGGAAACACACGGTGCGTCTTTACAGTCTCAGCAGCACAAAGCAGCGACCTGTTTCGCCTCCATAGTCGGAAAGAATAATCTGAAACACGGAAAGTGTGAGACATAACGCTCACGGATAATGGAGAATTTCTGCAAGAGGCTCCAACAAAGTAAACATCCCCTTGTTCCGCTTCTTGAAGGGTGGAGGGAGACGCGCTGCGTGGAACTGCGTTCTCGGAGGACGTCACAACGCCCTGCGTGAGGGTGTGAGTGAGGAATTGGAGTAAGATGGCTGCTAGAGGAGGGTGATCTTGAATCAGGAACGTTAGTGGAGCATTCAGGAAAATCTGAAAGACAGACACTGATAACAGCGTCCCAGGTCGGTGGATTTGGGGTGAGCGGTTGTGCATCGGAGACTGGGACCGCAGGGGACACTTGACAGGAGAGTGTTCTGTTATGCACAGTGCCAAGGGAAATCAAGGTGGCAGAAAATAAACAGAAAACACTGCAAATCCACCAGGTGAGTACACGGTCCACTGTGGCATTTTGCATAGAACAGTTTGTGTGCCACTCGTGTGACCTGCGAGGAAAACGGGGCGAATCGGGCACAGGAATTCCCGTCCATTGTCATGACGGGTGAGTGATTGTCGGTGACAGTTCTGGAACGAGGATAATGAACATTCCTTGAGGTCAGTGTTGGATACATCGTTTGCAAATATTAACCTGCATGCATATTATTGTAAAGATCCATTTGCAAATGGTGCAAACCGACCTCTTCGAATGGATGTGCAGCTTTGACCAAATATAGTTCATTCCAAATGGTTAATATTTTACGTGTGAGAAGAATATGTTACAAGAGAAACATTCCTGAGAAATGTGAGAAATCACAAGCGCATATGCATTCTTATTATTAAAATAGTGTGGCACATCACTTGGATTTTGTGTGCACTATATGAGATTCTAAAATATTGGGATGACTGCAAAAGTTATCAGTCTTGTACCTGTTAATCGTAAAAAATAATATTATGATGATGGCAGAAAACGGTTAGCGAAGTCAGAACCTTCTGGGGAGGAGAATTCGATACGGTTTTGCCCGCTGTTTGTACACAGTAGTAGTGTTATGTAAAGTATTGTACAGCTGTATGTATAAACATCCCCGCAGCCTGCTTGTGTTCAGTTAAGTGTTGTGTGCTGCTTGTTGCCGTAGCATGGGTTTTTCAGATGGAAACTGATTTACTGTATTGCTTAACGACGAGATTATTTTACAATGAAACCCCAAAGTGCCACTGTCGTTTTTGCTTCACGTTTACGAAAAAAAAAATGTAATAGTTCATACTGAAGCTCTGAGATGGCGACTTCACTTCCATTTCATTTGGCGGACTGACAAGGAAAATTACAAAGAACAGCACTTGAGCACCTGAGCTGACAACATCAGAGCCCAACTTTTTTGGGGTGGCTTTACGTCTGTGGTAACTCCTGAATCCCTGCGTCAAGATCAGACTGCCCTTGATTGAACTGAACCAGCGGTGACAACGTTATATTTGTGCAATGTCAGGGGAAGGGGAGTGAAGGCATGTGTGTGGCTTTAGATCTGACACACTAGCTGTGGGAAAGTGCACAACGTGTGGACTGTGACCCTTTGCGTTGTTTCGTTTCTTTGTCAGGTTAAATGGAGAGCTTCATAACCTGAATAAGTCTACAGCCCCAGCAATCTAAACTGTCTCGTATCAACCAGCTCTCTATTTCTGGTGTTCACGGTTCCTGTTAATTCTGTACTTCTGTTAGGTTTATTACAAAATATAAACCACTTCCTTTACTTCTGTCAGAACAGTATCATCCATTTTGATCTGGATTACATTTAAAGATTAAATTTAAAGATTAGCCCTCTCTCCATTGGGCGGAGTGGTGGCTCTGTGGCTAAGGATCTGTGCCTGTGGCTAAAAGGTCGCCAGTTCAAATCCAGCATCCTACTCCGTTTGGCCCCTGAGCAACCCTTAACCCCAGCTGCTCCAGGGGCGCTGTATAAATGGCTGACCCCAAGCTTCTCTCCCTGTCTGTGTGTCTCAGGGAGAGCAAGCTGGGGTATGCGAAAAGACAAATTCCTAATGCAAGAAATTGTATATGGCTAATAAAGTGATCATATCTTATCTTTTATCAACAATTTGATGTAACAATTGGGCTTCTGATTACTGCCTGTTTCTGTTATGCTCCAAAACTAACAACAGCTGGTGGTGCATATATAGTGCCTTTCATGACAGCCTGGATCTCAGAGCACTTCACAGTAGATCTGCAACTGAGCTTCCTGCAGAGGCAAATGTGCCACTGTTATGTTAGGGCAGAAGGCTACACTCCAGCACAGTCACAGCTGCAGCCTGGGCTTGGAGCTGGGCCGAAGACACTCTGCTTGTAACTGGGAGACTTGCGTTTTGACTGTTGGGCAACTCGTTTGTCCAGTGTGGTGACAGGACCTCAGTTTAACGTGCATCTTGATGCGTCCAGTCAGCACGCTGAGGAATTGTTTGCGAAATTCGTACCCCTCAGGAAGAGAGCCGCCTCCCGACTTGTGCCTTCCAGACTTCCAGTAGTTAAGTGATTTTCCGTAGATAATTCTGTTTGCTGGCCAAAGCCAGCCCTTTTAGCTTCTGAGATCTGACGAGCTCAGTCTTCAAAGTGGTAAAATACTGTGTACTTGCAAACAAACCATTGTTTGAAATGGCAGAAATTTGGCGGAAGTACTGCAGAACACATAGCAGATTAGTGTACAGCCACACATTTCTGGTGATTGCAGTCCAAATCATTTAGCTCTTGGCTGCAATCATTGGCCTTGTTAATGTACATTGCTCTAAGCATGATGCTCAGGTAATGTTATGTGGAATTTTGATCACAATGTCACTGTAATTATAGGAATCTGAGCCTCCCGCATGGTTATGAACTTCTAAAAATGACAATTTTCTTCTTTGCACAGCGGGTAAATGGGACAAATTAGAATTTAATGCAGCAAGACGCATCTGAATGGAAGCTCATCTTTACTCATGGCATTCTCGGTGAATGTCCTGTTCTTATTTCACAGTAAAATATTGCAGCTCTTAAATGTTAGTTTGCCACAAATATGCCTTCCCTGAAGAATATCGAATTCCACTGTATGTGCTGTTGCATTCCTTTAAGATGGAAGGCAGGATTCTTTAAATCCCTTTCATTTTACAGCAATCATATATTCATTTAATTTGTGCTTGTTCAGTCTATTAAAAGTTTATTGCAATAATCTTGTCCTGATGAACTGTAAAAATATTATGTTTTCACTGTGCCTGAGGATTGTGCGAAATGACATTTTTATGGACATGACGCATTGCATTATTTTAGAATCATGATTTTAACAGAAATACATCGAATTTTAGTGTTTCTTACTAGAAATGAAAAAATAAGTCATTTAAACGTGACTATAACAGCATTTGCTTTATTGGTGAGCTTTCCATTTCATTGCACTAATGCATCTTTATGGAGATGAGGTGTATAAAAGAGCAGGTAATTTTTATACTAGTTAACGTTATGTATTCTATTTATCAATCAGGGAGTAGTTTATGGGACAGTTTTCTGTGATAATGAGCTGGCTGCTTATTACTGTCATTATAAAATGGCCTGGGTTTATGATTCATGAAATCTAAGGGTGTAATGGCAGATGGCGAAATCTCGGAGCAAACTGATGATGGCCGCATGTCTGACAAGACCCTGTCATGCTCAGAGTCATGTCAGAGATAGTGGATGTAATATTCATGATATTTAATTCCATGCTTTCAGTCCCTTTTTCCGAACTGTCAGAGCTATCCAGAGAAAATAGCTTGGTATCTCCACTACTACTGAACCCTACAGAGTGTGGATTAGCTGTTTTTCTCAGTCTAGAGGAGTGATGGCTGCTTATCATTGTTTGTGTGCTGTTATGTTTTATTTCCTTTTGCTCTGCAGTTTGGTGATTATCGAGACGTTTGTGGTCTAGAGCTGTTCATGACGAAAGTCTCCATTGCAAGGGTGCCAGCGCGGAGCTCCTTTCTGCCACAGTCCCTCAGTGTTGATTCTGTTTTCATGGGGTTGCACTGATCACATGTCATTCCAGCATGAACATCTGGTCCTTGGCAGCAGTCGTTGTGTTATAATATAGCACTAGACTCTGTATTCACCTATTCCCAGTGCAGGGCCTGTAAGCTCCACCTCATTCCTTTACACTCTGCTTTTCAAACCATAAAACTATAGTGTTAAACTCTGGCTATGATTGAGGGTTAAAGTGTACATCTGCAGTGTGTAACAGGCACAGTTTCCCAATGGCTCTGTCATAGCCTTGTTGTTTAAAAAGATCAGGTTGAGAAGAACTTCTTCCCCAGTAGGTCATTTGACAGATTGGAATAAGTATTAAATGCTGATCATTTCTAGTCCTGTCATCTTCAGCTCCTCTGTTCTCCTTCACACATCAGGATATATCATTTTCTCAGTCAGAAATTGAAATCTCAAAGTAATAGAACATCACCTTTGCTCTATACCTTTCTGGTCTCATTATACTGTGTGATTTCTTGTTAAGCCTTTAGAAGTTCCTGTTTTCCACTTTAACCCGCCTAGATTCTAATATAAATCCTGTGCTCAGAGTGCCTGCTGCTAGCGCAATGCATTGCTATCATATCTGAGGTTCTAAATCTTCCTGTTCTAGATCTTCACTTCCACCTGATCACTCAAAACCCCAGTGTCTCTGGAAAGAATCTGCAAATATGAGACCTTTTCCTTGCTTTGCTCGTGAGCTCCTCATTGCTTGTCGTCTTGTCTAAAGTCTGATCTGAAGTACTGAATGAGCTTGCTTCTTGCCCTGCATTGCTCAGCAAATTTGATCTTGGTTCAGCAGGGGGTGGGGGTTGGGGGGCAACCTTTTGCACACCCCGCCTCTCCTGCCTGTTTTACCATTTGCCCCACCTCCTGCGTTTTCCTAGCACTGATTGGTCGTTTGGTGAACATCCACACCCTGTGACGGACTGTTCTGCTGCCTGCTCACTGTGTCTTTTTAGAGTTTTTGGTAGAGCTGGATATATCACAGCAAATGGAGAGGGAAGAGAGACTACAAAGCAGTGGTAAGAGCTTCAGAGTGTTTGAAAGACTAAAGATCATATGGGCTCTACGTGAATTGTAAATCTCTCAGCCTTTCCTGTCTGGGTGTGGCGATGTCTTCAGTGATTTGCATTGCTAGGTGATGTCTCCCTGCAGTACCAGATTTAGAGCTCTAGGCATCTTGGTGTATGATTAATACACAAATTCATCCGTGGTTTGCAATGTAAATAATGGTTTACAACAATTGATAAGAGTGGTTCAAACCCTGTGCAGAAATGAGTTACACACATTTGAAAGGTCAGAAAATCAACAATCATTATACAGTGCTCTTTAGCTCTCTACGTACACAATTCAGGAGTAAAATGAAACCCCGGATGAAGTTACTGAAAGCTCTTACCGTAATTATTTATGTGAGTTTCTGTTTTGACCTGCAAAACA